TTAAAGCCTCGTCTACATAGAAGTCGTAAAGTTGTGGTCGTAAGAACAGTCGACTGCGATTGGTCAATTCTTATGCGTCTGACTGAATTAAGCTTAAAGCCTCCACTACAATGATTCCCGATTCTGTCTACAATGGTCGTAGTCGTAGTCGCTCGATAAGAATTGACCAATCGCAGTCGATTATTCTTACGACTACGACCATTGTAGACAGAACCGAGAATCATTGTAGCGGAGACTTAAGAGTATTACTTAAGATGATCTTAGGGTTTGAATCTCTATTGTAGTTGGGTATTTAGTTTCGAGAAATGTGTAGCCAATCAATTTGCAACTTTTACGGAATGGCTGCAAGTTGATTGGCTACACATTTTTTACTCGGAACTAGAATGTAAATTCTGTACCTTAAGGTCCGTGTCCACGATGCTAGAACTTGGTCCAAGTTCTAAGGTTTGTTTTCTGTTCCCGCACTGGTGAACTAGTGCAGTAAGCTTGAATGCGAAAAAATACACTTGTCCTACTCTAATTTATTGCATTAGTTCACCAGTGTAGCAACAGGAAACAAGCCTCTAGTTTCGAGAAACATGTGACCAATCAACTTGCAGCTATTCCATAAAAGCTGCACGTTGATTGGCCACACATTTCCCGGAACTAGAACTTGGACCAAGTTCTAGCATCGTGGACACAGACCTTTAGAAATAACTTGGACCAAGTTCCACCATCGTGGACACAGGCCTTAATATGTATCTTGCTTTTGCAATTTTCCGCGCGATTTGATAAACGTGCTACCATCTAGGGCTCATACGCCAAATACCATGCGATAGCACCACAAGTGCCTCGTACGTTCGCCGCCAGCCAATCGATGCTCGAGGCCCAGCTGGCGATGGGTGGGATGGGGGGGCGTTTCGAACTCGCGACCAAAGTCTATTGACATTCCGGTGTGCTGTGAGTTGTTTTCATTTTCTGGGGCGCAGCGGCGGGCGCAATTGTTCAAGCACGGATCGCGCCGCGGCGGACGACACCTTTTATTTTAGGTACCGACGTCGTGCGCGCCGTACGACCGACAATTCGGCGCCGAGATCGATAGAGCGTCCGCACGGCCCTCGGCTCCGGCCGATCCTAACCTCGCTCGACCTCGACCTGCTACGTAATGTTCGCGGTCTGAGACGGAAAACCCCGGTCCACTCGGCTCCCCTTTACGTCTCACGAGCGACGAATTTCCACGCGACCGAAATCGCGCGCCACCTCCGTGTCTCTTCCTCTCGCCGCGTCCAGTCGCGCTCGAGGACTCGCGCGTTGAAGATCGGAGCTCGCGTACCGAAGAGCAGAATTCGAGCGGTCCAAATCAGTTTCGCTTCGCTCGCGCCGAGCTCCGACCTCCAGCTCGCGATCCTCGCGTGTCTCGACAGTAGTCTTGGTCCGACGCGGGATTTACGCGTCCTGTTTTCTGTTCCAGTTCCGAAAGTGGAGGAGGAGTCGATCTAGGACGATGTTCGAGTGGGCGTACGATGGTGTCAACAGCTCCATACCGCGCAACGTCGGGCCGGAATGCGCCAATTACCTGACGCTGCGACGGCGGATAATAGAGACTCTGTTTATATCTGTGTTTATCATACTCTTCATCGTATGGGGCCTGAGGCGAGTCACCGTGCCGAGGAAGCTGGCCTACGTCGGGCAGGACCGCGTCGGCAGGCGCGTCCTGCTCATCACAATGTCGATGGTCCTGGGGATGGAGATCGGCTTTAAGTTCACCAGCAGGACTGTTATATACCTATTGAATCCCTGTCACATTACGACGGCGCTGCAGGTGAGCGACGCAATCATTGAGCCTTGTGTTCACGAACCAAGAACTGTGTTCAACTCCCAGTTTCGAGAAACGTGCGGTCCATGAACTTGCAGCTTTTTCGTACAAGACGCAAGTTGATTGGCTGTACATTTCTCAGAACTAGAACTTGGACGCGGTTCCTGGATCGTGAACACAAAGTTTAGAGACCTGCGTCCACGATGCTAGAACCTGGTCCGAGTTCTAGTTTCAAGAAGTGCGTAGCCAATCAATTTGCAGCTTTCTCACAAGGTGATTTGCTACACGTTCCTTGGAACTGGAACTGGGACACAGTTCTTGGATCGTGAACACAAGGTTTAAAGACCTGCGTCCACGATGCTAGAACCTGGTCTGAGTTCTAGTTTCAAGAAGTGCGTAGCCAATCAATTTGCAGCTTTTTCGTAGGAGACACAAGGTGATTTGCTACGCGTTTCTTGGAACTGGAACTAGGACACAGTTCTTGGATCGTGAACACAAAGTTTAAAGACCTGCGTCCACGATGCTAGAACCTGGTCTGAGTTCTAGTTTCAAGAAGTGCGTAGCTAATCAATTTGCAGCTTCTTCGTAGAAGACGCCAGGTGATTTGCTACACGTTCCTTGGAACTGGAACTGGGACATAGTTCTTGGATCGTGAACACAAGGTTTAAAGACCTGTGTCCATGATGCTGGAACTTGGTCCAAGTTGTAGTTTCGAGAAATTCCTCGGGAGTGGAACGTGGACACAAAGTTCAAGATTGTTCAGTCTACTCTCCTTTCGTGGACACGGAGCTTTTTGTTACATTTGTGCATTTTCTGTTATGAAACAGCTGTACTTGCTGGCTGCCGATCCTAGTCCGACAGTCACTGCTATCTTCAGGATACATCTGAATCTGTTAAACGGACCGGTGTTGGCATACCTGTTTCCAGAGACGGAATCTCGGATTGTGAGTCATCGTCGCGCGCGCTCGAGCATCCGGCAAAGTGGAATTTTCAATAATGAGATTTACTTTCCCTGTTTAGATCTTTGCCGACAAAGCAATGTACTATATTCAGCACGGCTTGATGCTAGTCATACCGTATTATTTGTTGAGGATCGGAGGTAATTATATCTGTGTTCAAATAAAGATAACAGCAGATAACACTTTGCTATTCCTCTGCCGTTAGGTGTGTATAACATCGAGCCCTTGTCTGACATGAACTGGTCAATCCTCGGTTACGGCCTTAACGCGGGATATCACTTTTGGATTCTTCAAAGTGTTGCCTTGGTTCGTACAACGCTCTTCGTTCCCCGCAGGCTCGACTCTTCAAAGACCCGTCTTGTGATATGGTTTGATTTTCTCTTTTGCAGCCTGTACAGGTGAATCTTAGTCATATGTTGTGCGCGGCTGTCTTGGATCCGTTCGAAGGTCAAAACTACCGATTGTGGGCAGTGACTCATCAGCTGATATTATGCCCCATTCTATGCAAGTTGTTCTGCTTCGGAGCCAACTTTTTCCTAACCAAGTTTCCACCGACTAGGGTAAAGCCGACGTTGGAGTGCACCATTCCGCAGAAGAATTGTACATACGAGCAGAACGAGAAGCTGCACGAGGAGTCCGGCACCTCGGGAAACGGTCATACGCATTTTGATTAATTTGGAGGAGAGAATTTGTTATGTCAGACGTGTCTAAGCACCCCGTCTTGATTGAGTGAGTATATGTTTGCCCTATCGTAAGGTTATCTAAGATTACCGGGGAAATGATGAGTACTTACAGATTTGTAATATTTTTACATAATGTGCATTCGCGCTGGTAATCGCGCGGACATTAGTTCTGTCGTAGAACGTAGGTATGTAAGAATATCAAGCTTTTCTTCCTTGCAGACTAACGCGATTTAAAATTGTATCTGTTGTATCTTCTTCTAAGTATGGTCTACAGGGAAACTAGTAAATGGGAGCTAGGGAGAACTGACTTCTACTGGTGCAATAATTAATTATTCACAGTCAACATGAACGACAATTGTCATATTTTTGTTATGAACTTTTTGTTTAACAGATATTTATTTATCGAGGATTAAGCTCTTTCACAGATACCAAATAGATAAGTTGATCTTGGTACAATCGTTGTGATCGTATTAGGTTTAACTCGTTAGTCCACAATACCAAACGATAGTCAATTTGAAATATAAATTTCTGTCCAGATGCTTATCATGCCTAGCGCTGTGCATAGATTAAGAATCTCAAAGATAGGTGTGAGGCTTAAGCTGACGTTCGGTAACGGCAATGGCTCAGTAAAAGTATAATTGCCTATTTTATTAAATATATAAAAACGCATCGTGTAAGCGAACCATCCCGTGCGTTTTTATACTAATTTTTACTTGTGCAATAGAAACGAGGCTATTCAAATAACGAAACTGCAATATCTTATTTGTACATGATAGACAGCGAAAATTCGCGAGATCTCACGGTGAATCTTCTTAGCACGGACTGAGATGCGTTGAGACAGGCCTAAAGTGGTACAAACAATGGAATATAACAGTGAATTCAGTTGCTTGCACCAATGTGCACTTGTAAGACTTGTTTACAGTCAATTCTATATTTAAGGATCGTCTTAAATATCTCTTGAAATATTTCTCAGCCAGTAAAATGATCTGTATAGCTTCCATACGGATTATTTTCCGGTTGAATACTCTGCACGTATTTAAGACAAAGTTGAATATAAAAATATTGACTACAAACAGACGTTAGTGCGCGCTCATTGCAAGCAGTTGCTGTAAGAAAGTTTACTTGCTGTAATTCGATAACGTCAACTATTTTTGGAGAATACATTTGCATTTACGAAAGAAGTGATTTTTAATAGCAAGCAATTTGCACTTAGCATAAATCCCGGGTGGTTTTAAACATTGAACAATTAGTTGTTTCAAGAAAACCATAGGATTTGTTTCTTCTTGATCGTATTTTAATTTCCAAAAGTCGTAAGAAATGATCAAAAATGTCGTACGCCGCATCTTACATTGTCAAGCCGATGTTACTTGGGGTAATTGTTATTGACAAAATGTTCATGATTAATACTGCCCACTTTGGAAAATGAATTGTGAAACCTCGTGAACTTTCACGGTTTAGAAATACATATGTATAGTGTAGCATAAGCAATTTTCAAGAGCCATCTATTAGGTTTGGTTATTAATAATCCGGAGGCCATCGAGAGCTGACAAAAAAAACATTTGTGACATACGATACTTTTATTTTAGTAAATCCACGATTGCGAAACTAGTCGTGTATATATGGAAATATTTTTATATGACAGTTCCTATACTATTTAATCTTGTACTATATGAATTCTCGCATGCAGAAGTGTATCCTCACTAATATAATATAGCAAAAAAATTTTAGCATTTAGAATGCGCTTTTTGCGATACGTATATAGCACGTTATGTGATACATGGATAAATACGCAGGTTATAAATTAACGTTTTCGTCCAAGCGGAAATTGAAATTCGTGAAAATCTCGCTCTCACATGGATGAAAGCTAACGTCCATTTTACGTCCTTTCAAATGGAAACGTTTTTCATATAGAAACGATTTTTGTATGATAGTCAGTTCAGTAAACGTCGTCGCAAATTGATATAGAGTAGCACGGCCTATGTTGTCACTTGTATAGAATTAAACGAAAGCAAAACTTGCGAAGTTCCATAATTTCAGTAAGCTGCCATTAAAGAAAGAAACTTATTTTTCGATGAAAACAGCTTGATGATATTTACGTTATCACTATCTAGATAAAAATATTGATAATAATAAGAATAACGTTAGTGACACGATATATATAATTCACTTACAATTAGAAAAATCTAACTTGGTGATCTTGTAATTTAAATATAAGAGCTTGATTATGTAGATATATCGTGGGATATTACGGAATATACCATACGAATGACATACCAAATCTTAAATTAAAAATAGGATAAACATAATTCTTGCACGAGAATGTTCCAATTCTTGCATTAGTGTAACGGTACTTCGTAAATTAAACTAGTAACAAGATTGTCTTTGGCATGATACTATAAAAACACTCCTATAGTATTTTTTATTCAAATGGCCTAATCGCGCGGAGGATTCTTTCGAAGAGGGAATAGAAGCTACACTGAAAAGATCAGTATTTAAATTAATGTGATTGATTAGGTTGTTATAAATATGTTAGTAAAAAATTAAAATATCTTTGTATACAGATTGCATTTAGTTTTTAAAAATAATGTAAAAATCACTACTATCTAATAATAGGTACTTTGCATTAGTTAGTCGCAAATTATTCAAATTGTCGAACATTTTTTAATGTTCTACGTACACAATATATTTTTAATCTACAAACTAATAATACAATAAATTTACATGCATCTTGGAGGGGCAAAACATTGCAGTGATAAACTGTTATATTAATATATGTAAATACATCTTGTCAGTGCACTATTTTTGATGACATTTATTTTTGTTAAATTTACGTGTATCTCGGAAGGGCAAAAACTTGTAGTGATAAACTTTCATTTATATACATCTTGTCAATACGATTTTTGATCCCATTTATCGAGCCGCTTAATGATTTTAATTTATATAGATACATTTTGCCAATACCGCCCTATTTTTGGTGAAATTAATTTAGCTGCTCAGTGACATTTATTTTTTGCTATATTTATATGTTTTTTGACATGACACAACTACAAAATTCGCCTAACTTATTGTTAGTAACGAACTATTTATGCGGAGAAAATTTTTCTCACTTATCGAGACATTTACCTCATGTGTATAGTTTGTCGTAATGCAATTATTATGTTAAGTAAGAGAATATAATAGACATTAAATATTAAGGAAACTTGTAGAATAGCGACATTCGGGCATTCCATACCAAAGATTTTCATTTGATTTGTCAGATAAAATGAGTCATAGACATGATATTTTCATAGCGTCGCTAATGATAATTGCGTTAGTGGTTTACTCGTAATATTTAAAAGTCAAAAATGTGATTGCGTAGTCTTCTACTTAAATGAGTTTCTAGCAAATTCCACATGGCAGTTGCAATATTATTTTAAGAATCGAGCTATATATTTTCTTAATATGCGACGAGATAAATTTGCAGTTTCGTTGTTTGTATAGCTTGTATTGTGTAAAGAATAACCATAGATAAACATACAATAATGTAATAATAATATATATATATGCAAAACGCGGCATATATATACACGTAGCATTTATTTTACACAAATTGGAATATTGTGTGCACGCATTTGTTAATATTGTTTACGCTGTATTCTCACAATCGGTCGAGAATGAATTTTCCCGTCAGTTTCAGCCTCATTTATATATTATACGGTATTATACGAATACCTGGCTTGTGCAAGATGCGTTGCCAGTAAATTGTTCACGATTTTGTACATGATATACTTCGCGCGCGTTGCCTTTATACATATTCTGTACAAAACAAAGATACATTACTTCTTATTCTCAACGTAGAATACACAACTTGTAAATAACGATAAAGCCGAATATGTGTGGAATGAACGCTCCGGCGAGCATTCGTATTGCACCTTGCGTTCCATGACGAGTCACTTGTATTCAAATAATACACAGAAATCTTCTCTGCGTGATACACGAGAAACCCCCAGAAATCGATGGAAGTTTATTTTAATAGGATCTTCGGCCGAACACCCATGCTGATAAAAATGTGACCCAACGCATTCCGTAGTACACACAGTGTTAAGTGAATCACTTTTTTTCAGTCAAGTTGTAATTGGGAGACGATTGAGAAGGAAGATTGTCTCTTCATTACGTCAATGTTGACTATTTACGCACAGCTTATAAAATGTATAAATTATCACTTTTTATACATGTGAGAGTATCTCATTACTGTCCCTCACAAACATTTGTTTCGAGTCAGGACACTCGTAATCCTCGGTTATAAAGGATTAAGCATAAAAGAGAACGAATTAATATTGCAGATGCAAATGGAAGGAAGAAAATTAAAATGAGTTGACCCAAAGTAGATTTTAATTTATATTGTGCTTGATAAACATTTAAATTGCGCCAGACTGTTGACACAATCTTCAATTCAAATTGTTATATCAAAGAATGAACAACTTTGCAATTTTGCAAAAGAAACAAAAGGACGATACTGATGAGGCAATCTGTGTATAAATTGGATGAGTAAAATCGCTACTTATGATAGTTACGATTCGTCCATTTAAATTACATATTAAATAATAATTTATTATCATGCGCATAAATACCCAACATTGGCAGCATTCTAGTGGATTGCATACAAATTTGCACAGTGAGAATATTAGTATTGTTGTAACTGTACATTTCTTTGTCACTGTACAATATTACTCTCACCAAATATAACTGCGCCTACCTACAAGATAAGATTTAACAACACGCATTCACTTTGGAAATTTGTAAACTCTGCATTCGAAAGCAACTTTCCCCACTCGAACAGAACCGATGCGCGAAGGGAGAAGGAAGTTTTCAGCATTCAGCATCGGTATATGATATTTATTAAAGCGAACTTTCGGTTTGATGTGTCGCCATAGTGATCTCTCATGTCCACGAGTTAATATTCAGGTATTGCGATATCTGAGATAGCTATTACGTGTAACGTCGTTACACCACGCTCTAGCATCGGAGTTGTGAAAACTGATTGTAAGATTTTGGGTAAATGAATAAAGAATTCGTGTGGGTCTAGCCGTGACTTTTATTTATGTAAATTCAAGATAATCGACACCGAGTCGAGCATCGAAAATGCAATAAGGTGCTTTAGTGCGACGGTTTAAGCGAAGGTCGGTGAATTTGAGGGGAGAGAGAACCAACGGGTACATACGAAATAAAGTTTATTTCCCAAATATTTATAATCACTATGTACACGATTCTGTACAAAAGTTTAGAAAAACTAATTCACGAACACTACATACAGCAAACGCAATCATTATAATAAATATGTACAGTATAAATAATCGTCTTACGGATCACACCTAATTCATTCTAATCATCAGTATTCAATCTTATATTAAAAACAGCATTATTTATAAATACAGATTGTAATATACAATCCTTTATATGTATATACATATGTATATATAAAAATATATATACATATCTATATAAATATGTTATTAACTTAAAAATTCACTAGATGATGAATGAAAAGGACAGCTTTGAAGATCTTACGCAATAGGTATCTCTTTGTGCTATTCATTCATCCACAACAGTGGCATAGAAATTTATACAGCATGTACACAAGGTATTAAAATGATATTAGATTTTTCAGTAACAACGAAGAATTTAATATGACGACTTAGAGCCTAAGTCGCTTTGATGTAAGACGTAAGGGCGTTAAGTGTTCAAAAATGCGAAGAAAAATGCATTGCACAAGCACCGCCCGAACCACCTCGTGGTTAATAAATATTTTCTCTTTTGTTTTTTTCGTACTTTCTTCCAAATTATGTGTTACAAGTATGCGAGCCTCTATCTATTAATTATTTTAGAAACAGAAAATGTTTATTTATTTATTTTTAGGACGAATAATCTTCATGCCCATTGAATGGGGGCAAGAGCCGTTCACTATTTGATTTTATTATACTACACAGTTATTTTCGCGATTTAATTTTATACCAAAAATAACGCAGCTATACTCAATGAACACTTGAAGTGAGACACCCTGTATACTATTATATGAAGAATCTTTTTTCAGCTTTTGCTTTCATTGTAGAACAAATAATAGTTAATTTTCTGTAAAAACAACTTAACTTTCTATGCATGAAGCTTACCAAGTGACGAAGAACGAGTGAATCATGCTTGAACTTTATAACAAAAATATCTCCTCTCGTCTTCCTTTGACTAGTGATGTGTCATTTATGACAAAAGTTAATACATAAGTTAGGTATGTATATTAAAAAGGATATGAGCATCCAGGAAGTACGCAACAAGTTCGTCAATTCTAGCAATAAAAAAAATGATGTTACAACGAGCGTCCTGAGATCATTATGTACTATACAAAGTAACAAATGCAAAAACAAGTCGGAAAGTATTTAAATGTTACTTATAACAATTATTTAAGAACAACGGAACTTTTTCGCAAGAAATCCTTTCTGAAAATAAGACTATTGTTATAAATTGGTATAAAATATTGCGCATTTCATCTTTGCAATTAAGTAATAGAGATAAAACAGTACTACATAGAAGCATTAAGTATAGAGGTATATGTTGTTAAATTACTGATTTCCAGTTTTATTCGAACATAGAGTAATTGAATAAAAGTACTCGAGTAAAAATCACTAAAACATTTTCGCAATTGCATCAGATACCGAGTTAGTTGACGACTAGTGTCACTTAAAGCTTCCATGTGTAACACGTACAATTACACCAATCGATCGATTTAACTTCGTTGAAACTAAATGTACGCGTAAATTTCGCAGTTGAAATAAAATAAAATGTCTATTATTTACAGTCGACCAAGTAATCTACAGGCACACATTCTCTGTAAATATTGTACAGTTTGTCGTCGTGTGCTTTCTCTACTTAAACGTAGACAATGTCGATATAGTGCAGAGAACTTGGCATTAAGAATGCATTGTACAGCCTCAAATGAGCCTTTTGAGGATATGTTTGTCTTTTTAACGTAATGTGTTAGCCATCCAATGGTGGTCCTAAGTATACCATGGACACTTCTGTATTTCCATAAACCGCAGATACCGATGGATATAATCTCTTATCTGGTAACCCTGTTTATCAAAGTGACTCATAAAGGCTTATATCTTTGTTCCCAAACCTCCAGAAATAATATAGAAAATGGAAGAAAGACACCGATAAGGTCTTTGGACGCTAACAATCGTGGAATAACGATGTATCCAAAAACGCACAGAAATAGATAAAATGTCATACCTCTAAAAGCAACGCCCAGGAACTCGTAGTTCTTCTCGAAAGATAACGTATTATCGTCGCAATCCAAAATTACTCTAATCCTTTCCCCAACCTGCGGGTGAAAACGATGAAACGTCAACAATCTGTCTGTGCGAACGTGAGAAACACAGCGAGCGATTCGGCGATCGAGTGATTTCGCAACGGGTTCGATACCTGATACTTCGGGGCGTTGTTGAGCAGAGGATAATTCCCTTGCGGGTCTCCGTTGTGCAGCAAATGGTTGTCGACGAGGTTCCAACCCCAGGAATGCTCGTCGGAGCCAAGCAACGCTACATACCCGTGGCACAGTAGAGGCGCCTCCTTCGTGGCTATTCCTATCACTGCCACTGTACCCAGCGGCCCTTCCCAGATCACCTCCCAGGCGTGGCGGCCGTGCCGGAAGCCTATCTTGCCCCTACACGCGTCCGTGCTCTGCGCTACGGGATTTCTGCAACGATACGGTAACTGATGCGAGACATCTCGGATGTTGCACTCGTCAGATTACTCGGCGCTTCTATCGCACCATCACCGGGTGTATCCAGAAGCAGGACCTTTCACCGACCGCTCAGCGAGCTCTTGTATCCGACCGGTGTATATTTTTAAGTCTAAAAGAATATGCCAATCTGATGCAAGAGCTCACTGAGCGCTCACGCTTCTGGATGCACCCTTTAAATCGCGCTTAAGAACCTTGGGTTACGTTCATACATTCTCGCCAAGATCAACTACAAGTCAACTACGGCTCCTTGGAGCGTCTAAGAAAGAAGACCATCCCCAGCCGCAAAAGAAACTGATGAACGTCTCCCTCGCAGTCACGCGAAATAATATGTTTATGCGACGAAAAACAAGGGTAGATCGCAGCCGGTAGAGGCTGTGCTCCGAGACGCACAGGTGGACAACGGGAGTCGCCGGACGCACCAACCTGTGCAGGGTGAATCCGTTGGACTTTATGTAAATGTTACGCGAACAATCGTTCGGATTCCACGCGTGGTGGAAGGCGCGCAGCTTGGACTTGTGCGTGGGCACCGACGACAACAGGTCAGAGCTGAGGGCCTCCTGGGCGAGCTTTCGTATGCAGTGCATTCGCCACACGTCGTTGTTCTCGTCGTTGAGGAAGCGGTACCACCGTTTGCACACCAATGAGCAGTTCCTAAGGGTGTGCAGGTCCAGATACGAGAATATCACGTCTAAAACATGATCGGGCGCCCGCAGTGCTATATCGTCCATTTTGCCGGGTCCCCGTCACAGGACGAGCGAGCGTAAACATACGCGGGCCACGGAGACACCACCATACCACCATACGTACGTCACGAACTACGCGCATGTCAGATCCGACTACGTCCGGCGCGGCCCAAATTCTAGGGAATGTATAGTGATGGGCACAGTGACTACGTTTCCACCAGAGAAAAACCTGAGAGCGGCCATGCCGGCGTTTTGCCTGTTA